GCGTTTTTCTCCTGGGAACAAAGGCACGAGCACGGAGTATTTTCGGCGGTGTTTCTATTCCTTCATTCCCTACTAGCCGACAGCAAGTTAGTTATGTTGCAGGAGTCGGCCCGTCTTAGAGCAAAGCACCGGCATGTTCAGCGTTTTTGCTTCTCACACAACATGCCGCAGGAGGACGTTTGCGGTTTAGGCGTCGTGGCCTTTGCGAGCATGGCATGTCCAGCACAAGTATTATAAACTCCACCCGCCCCGTTTCTTCTTTTCAATGCTCATATTCATGTTTCACTAGTCGTGGTGTTGCCTTTTGACACAAGTATTTTCAGTACTGACAAGCATTCCGTATTCCTCCCGGGATTTACGAAAATAAGGGACCCCTCATATAGATCCCCATAAAGTAGGATCCCCTTATCATAAGGACCCCAATAAGGTTCCCTCAATTTCGGAAACCCCCCGTATAGGAATGGCCGTGGTAAGAGTTGATCTCCTTCGGCCGTTCACGTCCCGTCGTTTTTGTCGGACCTACTAGTGTCACAGGTGTAGTTCGTTGTGAGGTTTCGAATCTGACGTCCACGCGCAGAAACCTTAAGCCGCCCCACTCTGCCCGAAGCCCTAGAAACCCTCAAGACACGAAAGGCCCAAACCCTTACCCTAAGGGTCCATGTTCCTAGAATACCTGGGCCTTAAAGTACCTCCTATAACGGGACTTTTGGGCCCAAGTATACAAGAATATGGTACATGGACCATTAGGGTTAGGCCCTAAGCCCTTGGAGCTGAGGACCTCACACCTCTTCACTTGGCCTCACGCTCTGGCTTCGTCGAGGCAAAGAGGGCAAAGAGGGCAAAGAGGGCTGAGACGATTTAGGGTTTAGGGGTGCAGGGGTTTAGGGGTTTAGGGGTTTAGGGGTTTAGGGGGGCAGCTGTGCAGACCTGGTTGTAAAAAGGGGTTTAGGGGTTTAGGGGTTTAGGGGTTTAGGGGTTTAGGGGTTTAGGGGTTTAGGGGTTTAGGGGTTTAGGGGTTTAGGGGTTTAGGGGTTTGGGGTTTAGGGTTTAGGGCACTCTAGGAATATTTCAGGGGGCCCGGCATCGTTCGCAGAGGCCTTACGATGCAAAAAGATCAGACATCTCTTGCAGCTTCGCCAGCCCAAGACTCCCTGGTTCTCAGTGGGAATGAGGGAATGAGGGCCCTACATATATCCTTTAAGGGATTATATACGGGGCTCATTCCCTCATTCCCTATTAAGAACCAGCCAGAAGAGCGCATCAGAACGCCAAGTAACTTTGAAGTCCCCCAAAAGGCCATATGAAGCCCATCCCACCTAAAGATTCGAAATCACATGAACCCCCCCAGACATCCTGGGCACCCCTCCCCCCCCCCAGCCCCCCAAAAAAAACCCTAAACCCTAAGGCCTAAACCCTAAACCCGAGTCCCAACACAAGGTGGCAAAAGAGGTCCTTGAGAGCAGCCCAGAGAAGTGCCCGTGCAGCAAGCCCTTTTTGAGCTTGGGGATGAATCTCGGGGGACAAAAGAGGCTTACAGTAGGGTTTTGGGTTTAGGGTTTAGCGTTTAGGGTAGGCTTCTGCGGATGTCCTCCTAATCCTCCTAAGGACAAGGTGCAAAGATACATCGGCCATGCGTGTTGTGCACGAAGGAATGTTGTCAGATTGGGGACTTCGGAGGTCTTGGGGGTATGCTGGTTTCGGTGTCTGTGAAGCTGGTGCTCGTAGGTTCAAGTGGCCGGGTATCTTAAGGTTTTGCGTTGCCGGGTGCTCGTAGGTTCAAGTGGCCGGGTATCTTAAGGTTTTGCGTTGCCGGCACCCAACCGCCCATATAAGGTGTTTGACTAAAGGTCCCACTGGCTCCTCGTACTTTGACACTCCCAAAGGCGTCAACCTTAAGTATGTCAGTCAAAGCAGCGCCGGTACAAAGCCAAGCAAGACCTCGGTTTTTCCAAAAAGCTGGTGATTGTGTGCGGAAGAAGAGATGCGGTACAATGGTACGATTCAAGAACGGAAAACATAGTAGTAGCAGTAACAATGTCTGCTAAAAACATTCCAAAAAGACAAAGAAAGTAATAACCCTAAACCCTATAAACCCTAAAAACCCTAAACCCTATAAACCCTAAAAACCCTAAACCCTAAACCCTAAACCAAGAATCAAAGCAACAGTCATACTCTTCCCGTGGGAAACGCCCTACGCCCCACCCAGTCACGTGCGGCGGAGCATGGCTGGCGCGGTGTCCCGAAAGGCAGGGGGCTGCAGGGTGGTTCGGGTTTAGGGTTTAGGGTTTAGGGTTTAGGGTTTAGGGTTTAGGGCTTAGGGTTTAGGGTTTAGGGTTTAGGGTGGTTCGGGTTTAAGGTTGAAGGCCTTGCTGTGGGGAGCCCCCACCATGACCCATTTCTTGCTTGAGACCGTATCCCTTTGTGCTTGAAGGTTCGTGGGCAGCGATGATTGTGAAGAACCCATGAATTGAGGTTTGTTCGGGCTAAGACTAAGGACGCTGGCAGGCTTTTGCTTCAAGTGTTCCAGTCTTGACACGGGGGTTTACAACATTGGGGGGGTACCTTTTTTGGAGCCCTTGTTATACGGGGATCCTACTATTTGGGGGTCTAAATTGGGGGTCCCCCCATTTTCGTAAACCCCCATATGGTCAGCCACGCGCTCAGCCAAGTTATCATCGGGGCTTCAGGCTCTCTGCGTGGGATTCCGACCTGAAATCACCAAAAGGTTGTCCATGAGAGTGCCAGAATGATTGTGGCGGCAGGCGAAGCAGTCGAATGCGAGGAGTTGCTGAATATCATGCATTTCGCACATGCTTTCAGCACGCGCGGTGGCAGTTGCTGCGGAAGGTGCTCCTATGACACTGCGTGCATGTGGAGCTTCTCTTTTCAATCCCCGGGTGACCGCCGGGTGAGGCCTGTGAAGGCATGGAAGTCCCTCAGACAGCTGCCTCGCCACGCGCCACGTTTGCTTCTCACCATTGGGCCTTCACAATCCGAGTGGCTCTTTGCTGCCTCAAGTTAAAAATTCTTAGTTAGGGCGTTTTGGTTGACCCCCCCCCAAAAAAAAAAACAGGCAATAATCATGTCATCGTCATAAGACACACACACACGCACACACACGCACACGCACGCACCATAATCATGTGATCGCCATAGCCCCAAAATCACACCATAATCATGTGATCGTCATAAGGTCCTTGCCTATGTTGTTTGGGAGGCTGGGGCAACCGAAGATCTCGTAACCCTAAACCCTAAACCTTAAAACCCTCCTAAACCCGAAACCCTAAACCCTAAACCCGAAACCCTAAACCCTAAACCTTAAACCCTCCTAAACCCTAAACCCTTTGTCTGAGGGCAGCGCTCTGGACATGGCTGCTACGGCGGAGATGGCGGACCTCTTGCTGTGCTCTTCTGCTGCGCATGTCGTAGATTTCAGGGCAAGAGCGATACTTGAAGGTGCATGGGTAGCTATAAGTAAGGTGATAAGTAGAGCTGCCCTCCTTGGAACCCTACTTATAACTGCCCATGAACCTCCAAGTACTCTTGTCCCAGAGCAAAAAGCACTTCCTAAGCCTTTTTGGTAGCCCTTGGGATGCTCCCCCTTATACTGACAGTCCTGAATCGGGATTATAGTACCCCCTAGTATCTATATCCCCTTGGGAAATATTCTCCTTTTTGTTTATATAAAACCCAAGCGGATATTCAGAATATTTTTCTTAAGGTTCTAAGGGGAGTATAGTTATAATCCCTTTTAAGGACTGTTCGCATAGGGGGGGGACATCCCAAGGCAGCCCTTTAGAAACCTCACAAAAGCAGCGCTGAAACCCTACAAGCCGTAATCTGCCCTCGGTGAAAGGTTTCCAGCCAGCAAAAGCCAGGACTTCCTCCGCTCAGTCACTGAGGGCTAGCCCCAGGCCCGATTTTCCTTGTTTCAGGGTTTGGAAGTTTAGGGTGTATGGTAATTCCCTAAGGGTCCATGTTCCTAAATAGAGAATACCTGGGCCTTAAAGTACCTCCTATAACGGGACTTTTGGGCCCAAGTATACAAGAATATGGTACATGGACCCTTAGGGATTTGGAGCTACTAAAAGGCTTCAGCTTGAAAGGGGCTGCAAGGTAGTGTCTGGGAGTGTTGTGATGTGAGGCATGGGGCGTATCTCTTTGTAGCGGCACGTCGTCTCTGCGTTGATTTCTGGTGTTAAGGCTGCGGTGCTTTCCGCAGACCAGAACTCAGAAAAGATGGGAACCATAAAAGCTTTATCGCTGCACGATTACCTTATTACTACGCATGCATCCCCAGGATTGGACTTGTCCGCTTTTGGTTTCTGCCCCTCTTTGCCCGGCAGACTGCAGACTAGTTGAGGAAGAAGGCTCTGGCAAGCAACCACAGTTAGGTCGGTGTGTTGAAGGCTTGGGGGTTTTAGTCGCCAGTGCCGACACCGACGACACCGACATGAAAGGATGAAAACTCGCCGCAGCCAGCTGCATTCCAAGAATCAGCTTGACCATCGTAGAGCCTGCCAGGCATACCAACAAGTCCCAAGTCTAAGCCGCCGTGATCCATCACCCTAAACCCTAAACCCTAAACCCTAAACAATGAAAGGCAAAGTTTGTGTACGGCAACCTGCCAACCTCCGGCCCGACTAAATCACTGAGTCCTCTGGTTTACCTTGCAACCTTCTGGCAAGTCACGAGAACATACGGCAACCTAGGCTGACAGGCTTACAATAACACTAAAAGTGTTGAAGTGTCACTTCTCTCACCAACTCTCCACCCCCGAAATGGGGCCTGTGCCAATCGACCAGCGTGACGTGAAGCCTTCCGCAGAGAAGGTGGACAGCTGCCACTTTGTGAAGCAATGGCAGAACGCCCAGATTTGTGAACCTTTGACCTTGCTACAACATGCAAGCCCAGCATGGGAGAATTCGGAACTGGAGGCCTGCTTCAAGGGTGTGGTTCGTGAGATCCTACAGCCCGGCAAAAGATCTCAAGGCACACCCATGTCGCCCGAGGAGGGCGGCGACACTGAGGCTTCTCCTGTGCCCGGGTCGATGCAGACCCTGGACAAGGAAGTCGCGCAGCACAAGGCTCCGTCCGGCTTGCCTTTGAACCTCCGAGACCAAACAGAGCTCCAGGAGCTCTGTCACCTGAACTTGCACCAAAAACTGGGCATGTTCCAGCAGAATCGGCAGCTGCGCTGGGAGGTCGGGATCCTGAGGCAGCAAGGCCGCGCCATGCGGCGATACTGCCAGACATCGCGCCGGGGCTTGCAGGAGAAAGCAGAGGAGCTGCGGCGAGTTCAGGTGGAGTTAGAGATCAGCAAGAAGCAGGCCGAGCAGAGTGCGCAACTTCAGGATGAGCAACTGGCTGACTTGCAGGATCGCGAGGCCAAGTTGGCAGAGCTCCAGGTGGAGAATGGCTGCTTGAAGAAAGCGGAAGAAGCCCTTAAGAGAGAGGCACAGAGCCTCGAGGTGAGCTTGCGCAAGGAGATCGCGGTCTTGAAGGAAGCAGGTGAGTTTCAGCAGAAAGTGTCCAAGGACCTTCGAAAGTTGCTTGGGGAGCGAGAAGATGCCATTGAGAAGCTGGAACAGCTTCAGCAGCACTACTTGCAGCAGATTGACGATGCGCAGGGCCGGAACGCGGAGTCTGAACAGCGATGTGAGGAACTTCAGAGGGAGTGTAAGGAAGCACAGCAGGCCCGGCGGTGGCTTGAGCAACATGTGGCCGAGCTGCAGCAACAACTCGCAAGCCTTCGAGCAACTTGGGACACAAGCATGGCAGCTGCGAGGGAGAAGCTCGCCCTTACAGCCGCAGAGAATGCTGAGAAGTTTGGGCGCGTCGCAGCAGATCAAGCCGAGAGGCTGGGGCACGCTGCAGCAGATCAAGCCGAGAGGCTGGGGCGGGCGGCTGCAGAGCAAGCCGAGCAGCTAGGACGTGCAGCCGCCGAGCAAGCCAACAAGTTCAGCTTTGTTGCCATCGAGCCCTGGTAGCCCAGTGGTACCCTTTGCCCTTTTTTGTTGGTTCTGGGTTCCCTTATGAAGTAACCAACCACAAAAAAAGGGGGTGCCCTTATTTTAATATGGTTACTGGATGTTACTGGGCTACTAAGGAGCAGGGTGAGAAGATCGGACGTGCGGTGGCAGAGCAGGCGAGCATGCAATCGCGGCTGCAGTCTCTCGAGCAGCGTCTGGGCGAAGCCTTGCAGGAGCTCCACGTGGCATCCGCCAGGGCCCACAAAGCGGAGGAGGGCCATGCGAAGGTGCAGTCTGAACTCCGTGACACGCGCCTGGCCGCCACCAGCCAGCTGGAGTCAGCCAAGCGCCAAGCCGAAGCTGATTGCCGTAGGCTCACACGCCAGGCGAAAGCCTGGCAGGCAAGGGCTCAGGACGAAGAAGCGCGCGCAGCGCAGCTTCTCAGAGCTGAGGAGGACTTCCGCCGGCAGCAGGCGGCTGCGTTTGACCTGGAACGCTTGGAGTTGGAGTCCCAGGTGCAGCGGCTGCGGCGCGAGGTGGCATCTATCCGTTCCAGGGTGCATCATGGAGTGCGGGCAATCGTCACATCCCCTGAGTTCGTCGTCCAGACTGCGCTCTAATCCGGAGACGCCCTTTGGGAAATGCAGCTGGTTCACAGTTTAGGGGGACCAGACATGATCCGAACTTACACGTGAGTCATCCTGCGAGTTTGTGTCTGGGGCAGTTGTCGCTGACCGTGCAAGCAGATGCGGCGCCATGTTGGCAATGTAGGCGATTGGGCTGTGGCCCCTTCCCACCCGAACATTTCAAGGCAAGTCAATGGATCATTGTCATGCTTGGGGGGGCGGGGGTGGGGGGAAGGGCAGAGTACTAACTGCCTGCTTTCTTAAAAGAGTATGCTTGCTCCGTACGGCTACTTGCCTGAGAGATGCAAATAGGAGCCCACGGTTTTAGCAAAGAGGTGGCCTCCGCGATGAAGATGGCTTCCGTTGGTCGTCCTGGACCGGTGTTCTGAGAGCAGACCCTAAGGGTCCATGTACCATATTACTTGGGCCCAAAAGTCCCGTTATAGGAGGTACTTTAAGGCTCAGGTATTCTCTATTTAGGAACATGGACCCTTAGGGAGGGATCGTTCCAATGCTGCCGACGGTCACAGGTAGCTTCTTGGAATCGGCTGGTGTCGCTCTGGGCTGGCTGACATCGTGAGACAGGACCCTGTTGTCATTCAGAAACCCTAGAAACCCTAGAAACCCTAGAAACCCTAGAAACCCTAGAAACCCTAGAAACCCTAAAAACCCTATAAACCCTAAAAACCCTGAAAACCCTGAAAACCACAAAGGCAAAGACATGCCAGGGGCTGCAGCTGCCGGATTTGCGCTTCCCTCCCCAAAACCTTAAACCCCAAACCCCAAACCCTAAACCCTAAACCCTAAACCCTAAACCCCAAACCCTAAACCCCAAACCCTAAACCCTAAACCCCAAACCCCAAACCCTAAACCCACTTTGCCTGGCTTGTCCGAGTGTGAGCGATTAAACCCGCGTGGCTTGGACGTCGCGCCCCCCCTCATCCCAGACAAGTCCCAAGGCACCGGCCACCAAGCCACATGGCCATTTCTCAAAATCGAGGGTTTAGGGTTTAGGGTCTAGGGTCTAGGGTCTAGGGCTTTGGGTGCCCTAAATGTTTTGGGCCGCCTGATAATGGGCAACCCCAAAAGGGGACATGATTTGGAGAAGCGGCCACATGAGACTGTTTTAAACTTGAAAAGGACAAGTCAAAGGCACCTCATCCGGTTGCCAGCTCCATCATCCAGCCTCCGTGGCTTAAACCAAGCTTTCAACAGCAGGTCGCTCATACACATGGGTGGTTGTCAAAATGATGGTCCTTTTTTTGGATCCCTACAATAATACGGCATCTAATAGTTGGGGTACCCTAAAGGGATCATAAACCCTAAGCCCTAAACCCCAAACTCTAAACCTCATAATTTTGACAACCACCCACATGAACATGCTGAAGCTTGAAGGTCAAGCTCTCGTAGACCTCCGCAAGATCCAGGTTTAGGGTTTAGGGTTTAGGGGTGTAGGGTTTAGGGTCGTACAACTTGACAACCTGCGCACGCATCACGCTGTAACACGTGTGCTTTGGGGGTGCGGGTTCAGAGTCGGACTCGTGAAGGGCAATATAGGGGTCGGAAAAATCACTTGTATGATTCCCTTAGGGTCCCTTGATAAGATAGTTATACTACAATAACCCCCCAAAACCCTATTCTGCTTATTGCGGTCCCTATATTAGATGGCAGCTGCGGCGTGGATGTCTTGCCAGACTTGTCGCAGCTGGCGGCTTGCAAACGCAAGGCGCAGTTTTGCCTCCAAATACGAATCCGTGCTGCCTGTAGATAACAGTGGGTCGCAGGTAGCAATGGGTTCCATACCTGGCATCAATGTGTGGAAAAAGAGGGCAACCTGCACCATCATGGGTGCTAAACCCTAAACCCCAAACCCAAACCCTAAACCCTAAACCCTAAACCCACAAGGATCTGGAGGAAGGCAATTGACGTAGTACACGATTCCGGGTATTTCCTCTCATCTGAATGCCTCAGGGCGATATCCCCGGTTTGGGCATCCCGAACCTGAACCTCGAGGTGATTACTCTTTTTCCGAGACCGACCATGAAACCCCGCAGTGCTGTGGCTAGCCGGGCGCCAAAAAACACAACCCAAAGCGCCTTTGCGGTGACTTTCTCTGGCAGCCCCAGGACCCCTCTCAAGCCTGAAAAGAATGCGAGACTAATCTCCAAGATGCAAGACATCAACACCATACAGCAAAGTGGCGAAAGCAGCGCATCGCACAACCTCTATGAGCAGGTGTGAAGAGCTGTGTTCTCCAGCACCCTTGGGCTCAAACCAGCCCCAAAACCCCAAACAGCCAACAACAAAAAAAAAACCCACAAGATGAGCTCTTGGAGCCTGACAAGAGGCACGTCTTAAAAGATATGAACCCTTAAACCCTATATGAACCCCTAAACCCTAAACCCTAAGCCCTAAACCCTAAACCCTAAAAGGGGGGGGGGACCTATGCACAGAGAGTTATAGTGTTGAAGTTGAAGAGCCGGTTTCGCGCCCATGGCCACTGTGGCCGCAGCTGCGCGGTCCCGCTCTCCCGTGCGAACTGAGGCGGGTATAGGTAGTACATGTGCCTTATTGTATAAATATATTCTTATTTTCTATATATATATATATATGTATATACATAGAGGGGTTGTTCTTATATTCTCATCAGAATACTAGTGTAAATTAGTCTAGCTTTTGCACAAATAACGATATTACACTAGTATACTAGTATACTAGTATACTATTTTTCTACAGTTATATTCTTATTGTACTATACTATATTCTCCTTCCTTACCCTAAACCCTGAATCCTGAACGCTAGACCCTTTTAGCTAGTATACAATCATATTTTTCATGTCTTCGCCTCTGCTTGCACCATTTCACGACACAAGCCCTTGACAAACTGTGAGGCGCCCACGGCTCTCGGGACTGCCTGGCTCAGTGAAAGCGTTTGATGATTTTTAGGGTTTAGGGTTTAGGGGGTTTAGGGTTTAGGTTACATTCCGGACATTCACTGCTTCACCCGAAGGCCACCAAAGAAGGGAAGCCCTGTCCGCGCAACCATCCGTGCTGCAGGGCCGTCCGTTGCTTGAGTCTTGCATGCTGGGCGCGGCAGGACTCTCTACGGACATGGCGTCCTCGTGTCCCAGGAGCATGCTGGCAGTTCCCTGTTTGCATATAAACATGTCCGTTTCTACAGAGGACGGGAATGGCATGGACCTGTTTTGGGATTGAGTTACGCTGATGTGGTTCACGACTTGCCTTCTCGCGGCGCCTGGCTCCGTTAGGCACATCGATGGAGCGACTTTGCCGAACGAGGCGGGCCGCTTGCCAAGCACATGAAGAAACAGCGCATGTCGGCAGCCCCCTCGACAGTCCATAAACTCGACCATACTCGTAGGAGTTGTGACACGCCTGTTCCCGGGACCCCCTCTTCAACCGCACAGGGAGAGAGACGGAGAGATAGAGAGAGAGAGTGTGATCGATTGATTGGTTGGTTTGTTGGTTGGTTTGTTGGTTGGTTGGTTGATTGAGACTGCGAGTTGGAAGGAGCTTTGGCACTGAAGTACGGGAGCTTTCTGCGATCCTGCTGTCGCTGGAGGAGGATGCGGCAGTCAATTGGGGCATGACAGCCATGTGTCGTTCTGCTGAGTCGCTGTACCTCAATAGGCTCGTCCATCGAGACACCAAGGACAAACAACTCCAAGTACGCCCCAAACCCTAAACCCTAAGCACCCACAGTTGAAGGCATCCTCTTACGGAAAGCTTGTAGTCCCCCCAAGGGCCCTAAACCCTAAACCCCAAACCCTAAACCAGCGAAGGGCCCTAAGCTATTCCCCCTGACAAGGCTCTGTTCCTACAGCTTGTGCCTCAGTCCAAGCAGTCCATTCCCGCTTCAAGGACTGTGGTGAGCATCGTTGGGAGGTCCTTGGGTCGGTTTAGGGTTTAGGGTTTTGGGCTTAGGGTTTAGGGTTTAGGTTTAGGGTCTGGGCTTCGGGCTTAGGGCTTAGGGCTTGGGGTTCATCAGTTCCGCTAGGAGCTGGGGCATACTAAGCCACATAAGCCATGCCAGAGGCGATCTCTGTGCCAAAAATGTGTTTTCGAATGCACATGTTCACATTGTAGTAGGTTCTGATCTCGTCTGGCTTCCCACTTCGCTGCCTCGTTAACACCAAGCGTAGTTTCAAAGCCCTACTTCAGCTATACGTCCGGGAAAAACGACTTTTAGTCTTCATGCAGCGAGAGAAAAAAGCCGTCAGTTGCCAGTCCCGGCAGAGCAGCCTGAGCGCTTCTCTGGGGTTTTAGGGTGTAGGGTTTAGGGTTTTTGGGTATAGGGATCAGGGCTTAGGGTTCAACAGTTCCGTGAGTAGCTTTAGAATTGAGGTCCCCGAAATCACATGCCATGCTGGAGGCTTGCCGAAGCATGCTCCTTGTGATCTCCGTGTCAGAAATGCTTTTTTCGAATGCACATGTTTTTGTAGATTCTGATGCAACAACAAGACCCTTGGATTGAAATCTCGTCTGGTTACCCACTTCGCAGCCTCATTAGCATTAAGTTTAAAGCCCTACTCCAGCTATACGCACGGGCGGTGAAAAACCGGCTTTTTTTTCTTCATGCAGCGAGAGAAAAGATGTCAGTTGAGAGTCGCGGCAAAGCAGCCTGAGCGCTTCTCTGAGGTTTGATTAGGGTTTAGGGCATAGGGTTTAGGGTATAGGGTTTAGGGTTTAGGGTTTAAAATTTAGGGTTTAGGGATCAAGGCTCCGGACAGGCTTCAGAGGTCCGCGATAAAAAAAAGGCATCAAGGCTCCCCCAGCCATGAACCTGGCTGTAGAGCTCCGCGCGTCAGGTCAGAGCTGCACGTGCTCGACGTCCAGATGGAAAACACGGCTGGCGTCTGAGAAGCAGAGGCATGAGCGTTACGGTACATGAAGCAGGGTTTATATTACTGCTCCTGGTGAGTGTATATATTGGGTGTCCGTTTGGGGATACAAGGAATATAAACCCTACTTCACATCAGGCACAGGTCTGAGTGCACACGGCGGAGGCGCAGAGTTTGTTGTGAGAGAGCCTGCGCTTTGCAAGCCTGCACCTCTTCAACCATTGCGATCTGGGGGTTTACGAAATTGGGGGTACCTTATTGGGGTCCTGATTATAAGGGAATCCTACTACTTGGGGGTCCTGGCTCAAAGGGCATTTTGCGTCTGGCCTGTCACCCCGGGAGCCTTGCTGTCAAGTCGAACCATGGCCGAGCTTGAAGACGAGGACCGGCCACGGTTTAGGGTTTAGGGTTTAGGGTTTAGGGGCTTCTAATTCCCAGGTAGGATAAGGGGGACCCTTAGAAATGGAAGCCTCTTCTGGCTCTCTTAAACAGGGACCTTATTCAGAGGGTCTACAGCCCCAAGGGTCCCCCTAATCCTATACCCTATTGAAAGGGTGGATGGGGAAAGGCAAGAAAGGTTGGTGTGCTCGACCTTTCGTTTCAAGGTGGTTGTCGATGCTTGCATTTGTGACAGCCCGATTGTGGGTGCATGTGCCTTCGGTTTGTGAGAGAGTCAGCCCTAAACCCTAAACCCTAAACCCTAAACCCTAAACCCTATTGTCCCAAGGCCTTGGGGGCTGCTAGAGGGAATGTAGGTTTTTTTAGGACCCCCCGGGCGGAGAAAGGTCGTGCTAGTTCAGATCATGCACCCCATCTCGAGGAGGTCGCCGTCCCAGAGGCCGAGCCTGAGGAGGAAGTGACGGACCTCAATGGAGCAGTGCGCGGCGCTCCTCGGACCCAGCAGCCTCTAGTGATTCTCGTGCATACTTGGAGGCTCATGTTTAGGGTTTAGGGTTTATAGGGTACTCGTTGCAAAAGGGTTTAGGGTACTTAGTAACCAATTATAACTGTACTTCGAACTCACTTATTAGCCCCTGAAGTGCCTAATAATATTGTTATAAGTACAGGTATAAGTACTGCGATAATTGGTCAATCAGTACCATGAACTTCCAAGTAGTGATTGTAGTGCCTAGCTAATGCCTTTCTAGGCATCCGGTTAACATGATCCGCAGAGCTGTGGTGTGCAAGTGATGTTCATCTCGGATTGCAGCTGGCTTTGAGCATGAAGGTTTGCCAAGCTGGGATAGGGGTGGCAACCCTAAACCCTAAACCCGAAACCCTAAACCCTAAACCCATAGCACGGGCACTCTCCGGATCTAAACTTTCTTGCATAAATTGCGGACAGAACATATGCACACACACACACACAGAGACGTACATGCATACAAGAGCACGTGGGCACATGCCCGTGCCAGTGGTCCAAGAAGCATTGCAGAGCCTTCGTTCATATCTAACCCTGCGATCCATGTGACCGCCGCCGCCCCATCATGCCCCGTACACAAACAGGTTTACGTGAAGAGAAGGGTCGTTTCAGGGAAAGGTTCAGGCACGTCTGCCAAGTGGGATCCTTCTCGGGAAGGCATCAGGGCCGGTATATAAGAGCTGGGGTATAGCATGTGCTTGCGTCAGCTAGGTCCATGGGGTACTTTAAAGTAGCGTTCTGAGTAGGGTAACTTTTTGGTTATAACTTATAACCCCATTAAGGCCATTATAACCCTACTGTTCGCAAGGTCCTGAAGAAGTCCTTGATGGTGGACGGCGTCATCCGGGGACTTCATGAGGTGGGGACCCAATTCGAGAGGGTGTAGGGCCAGGGTTTCGGGAAGCCCATGCTGCTCCTTAGGCTTTAGGGTTTAGGGTTTAGGGTCTAGGTTTTAGGGTTTGTTCAATTAAACCCTAAACCCTAAACTCTCAATCCTAAGCCTTCAACCCCAAACCCCAAACCCGCACTGCAGTGGCTGGCTAGCCGGGTGGCAAAAATAAATCCCAAACAAACCCTAACCCGTAGTCATTGGTATTTCGCACTCCGGGCTGCAGGGTTGGTGTTGTGACGGTTTGAGTCCCAGGCCTACTGTACAAGCCACAGTTGAGAAGCTGTGGAGCTTCGCCCACCTGGATGTCAAGGACCCTAAACCCTAAGCCCTAAATCCTAAACCCTAAACCCTAAACCCTAAACCCTAAACCCGAAGACGTAGCACTCGAAGCTTCGTGGTCTCTTGCAGGTCCCTGCCCGTGCCCTGAAGGGCCCCTAAACCTAAACCCTAAACCCCAAACCCCAAACCCTAAACCCTAAACCCTAAACCCCAAACCCTAAACCCTAAACCCTAAACCCCAGGTGGCCAAGCACATCGAAGCTTGCAAGACCCAGGTGGCCAGTGGGACTGCAAGAAGGGGCAGCTTGAGGGAGCCTTTGAGGTTTTCGGTGGCCATGTAGGGTTTAGGGTTTAGGGTTTAGGGTTTAAGGTTTAGGGTTTAGGGTTTAGGGTTTAGGGTTTCGGGGTCTAGGTTTAGGGTTTTTAGGCTTTCAATGTCTCTGAATCCTCCGCAGCTCTGGTGGTATTTGGGATGTTGGGGCTCTGACGCGCTCGCTATTTGGTTTCCCTCTCTCTGGAAGCAGCTTCAGGTCAGGCCTAGAAGCCCGAGTTTAGGGTTTAGTGTTGAGGGTTTAGGGTTTAGGGTTTAGGGTTTAGGGCTTAGGGTTTCAGAACTCAGGTCTTCTTGGCCGAGTCCTGCAACGAGGCTGGCGAAGCTGCATGACGGGTTTATGTGCAGTGAGGCGTCTTGAGAAGTTGGAATCCTCGTTCCCCAAACATATAATCACCCGACGGTATAGGTCCCTAGCTCCCAACATCCCTAAACCCTTAACCCTAAACCCTAAACCCTATGGGACAGTGTGTACCTCGCCTGGCTTGTCCGAGTGTGAGCGATTAAACCCTAAACCCTAAACCCTAAACCCTAAACCCGAATTCATGTATTTTGGGGCGGGGAGCGCTGAGGGATGGGAGGAAGGGGCGGGTGGGGTGGGGTGGAGCCCTCTTCCCTAAACCCTAAACACTAAACCCAACCCCCTAGGGCCCCCTATCCCTAAACCACTGCCAGGCGACCTACAAGAAGCTGATCCAGGGCCTTTGCGTGGAGAAGAGCCCTGTCTGGTCTTGCCTATCATAGGCTGAGACGTCCCACCTTTTACGCTTGTGCTCTTCAATTGCCCTGACCCTGGCCCTACAGCCCGAACCTCCTCCGAAGAAACGTCTATACGGAGATGAAGTCGCGTTGCATGATTTTCCTTTCAACCCTAAACCCTAGACCCTAAACCCTAAACCCTAAACCTTAAACCCTAAACGCAAGGAACGTTCCTGTCATCGATGTCCCGGACAACAAGAGCCTGGGGGAGTGGGCCGGGCTCTGCAAGATCGATGCTGGGCGCAAGAACGAGTAAGTCCCTTAGGGTTTAGGGTTTAGGGATTAGGGTTTAGGGTTTAGGGTTTAGGGTTTAGGGTAAGGAACCTGTCAGGCGTACTTGGAGGTTCATGGTACTTATTAACCAATTATAACTGAGTTATAGCTGTACTTAGAAGCATATTAGGGCACTTGAGGGACTCATAAGTGGGTTATAAGTACAACCTCCAAGTACGGAACGAGGAGTTAGCTATCAGGGGTCTGGCGAGCTCGCCAGCAAGCATGTCACGTTCTACACACTCAGCTTATCGCATCTGCCAAGCGCATGCGCAGGATACATGGTGCCCCTGAATCGGGTTTCGTGTAGTTGATTTGATCCACTTGGTTCCTTTGTTTGGACTTAAGGTTTCGGGGCTCCAGGGTATGGGTTGCATCTACTATAAATATAGTTCATTCAAAGGTGAAAGGTGTACACGCCAGCTGTACACGCCATGAATTAAGTGTGCTCTCACCCGCTGTCTAGAGTTTCAGGCGAGCGACCGAGGTCCAACGGGCTAAGTATCGAGCACACTACCAGAGAGCCAGGCAGGCTACTTGGAGGTTCATGGGTAGTTGTAAGTAGGTTTATAAGTGCCTTAAAGAAAGGTTACCACCAGTTACAATTATAATTACCCGATTCAGAATCCTGCTTGCATATACCAATAAACCTTCAAGTAGCGTCGGCTCCGAGTCATCCGATTCCCGTTGCAAAGGACAAGGACGGCATGCCGCGCAAGGTCGTTGGCGCAAGCTGCGTCGCCGTCGTGGACTTCGGCGAGGAGGGCGAGGCATACAACTACATGATGCAACTTGGTAAGAGAGGGGGTCCTGTTGAAAGCAGCTTGAGACTATTATAGAGTGCAACGTCGGCTGCGTTTTGACAGCCACAATGCAATCCAGGAAGCATTTGGGCAAGTCGTGAGCAAGGACTTCGGTGGGAGAGGTGAGCCAAAGACAATGCGAAGCTAACATCGAAGAAAGGCCAGCAACGCCTCTACGGTCTCGAACATGACGGGGGACGGCAGATGCGAGAAAAAGCTGCTTTATTGTGCCTCCGGCGCGGTCTTGGCAAGTTCGTGTTCTCATGAGCACAAGGACTGGAACAGCTGGACCCAACTGCATGTCCCCAGTATGGAGAAAGGTCCTCACACCCGACATCATGTTCCAGAAGTGCCGAGAGCTTGCCGGGACCTCGGCGTAAAATACATGCCGGGAATCATGTTATCTAAACCCTAAACCCTAAATCCTAAACCCTAAATCATGTTATTGGTTCCCTAAATCCTAAACCCTAAACCCTAAACCCTAAACCCTGAACCCTAAACCCTTAAGAAGCCACAGCAGGTTGGAGCCCTCGCGGTATGTTTGCGTAAGTTGTGAGGTCCACGTTATCACCAACATAGTTCACAACATGCTATTTTTGTTGAAGTGCGTGAGCTGAATTCATCTGCTATCCTTGAGGTCGGTCGATATGTTAAAAAACTTCACGAGTCGGCACATGGGTGTGGGTTCTTCAAACTTCAAACCGTGCTCGCTCTGTACGCCGTGTAAAAACCCTGAACCCTTTACCCCTAAGTTTGCGTAACCTTGTGCTGACAATGCTTCAGACATCCGGAGTCTTGCCTGCGCATGCACTAGTTGTGAGAGTCGGGACCCTAAGTGACAAGAAGCTGCAGGGCAGCAAGTGAGTGAGGGAGTGAGTGAGTGCTTTACTGAGTTTGAGTCTTGAGCAGACTGGTTCCATTGTAATTACTTGCATTTTGGGAGTGGTGCGTGGCACGAAGTTGGATCGAGGTCAAGGATTTCCCCAGCCGATATGTGGTCTACCGCCACTACCGGCTGCTGGGATGGACGGCCCGCGCCTCAACTCTGTCAGCGCACCAGGGGGGGTTTCGGGGTCCCATCTTTTGGGCATTGGTTTCTTGCGGTGTTTTTTTGCTTGAATCGCACTTACAAGGGCCCACATTCGGATTCGAACAGCCCCCACATTGGGACATGTCTGGTGCATGTTCAGCCCACACCCTTCATCGCTACCTATATGAAAGTCAACGCTGGGAGCCCAGCAGGGCCTTTCAAAGTATCCCTAAACCCTAAACCCTAAACCCTAAACCCTAAACCCTAAACCCTAAACCCTAAACCCTTCCAGGCTGCCAGCTTCTCAGGGTGGCTCTGCATGTTGTGGGACTTCAAGGATTGATGATAGGAGACCCCTAAAATACCCTAAACCCTAAACCTTAAACCCTAAACCCTAAACTCTAACCCTAAAAAAGTAGACCCCAAAAATAGTCGGACTTCCTTATCACAAGGACCCCCAGTAACTACTATTTGCTTCAGAACCCCCAAAAGAACAGAAAACAGTAATCCCTAAAAAGGACCCCAATAAGGTCCCCCCCCCCCCCATTTCGTAAACCACCATGTGGTTCGGAGGTTTGCACTTTCTTGCTGTGCATTTGGGCCTTCTGCCCATTCGGAGTCCTTCAACAGGGCCTTGGGGGTTTAGGGCTTAGGGTTTAGGATTTAGGGGTGTCGGATCTGTTTTGCTCCAGGGCGAGAACTCTTTGACTCAGGAGCAGGTGAACGGCTGTGGTTGCAAGGGCTAGTTGATGATCTTGAGGTTTGGTCAGAGTCTGTACGCGTTGCCAGATTCCAGCAGCCGACGGGTAGCACTGCCGATGCACTCCGAGCCAACTAATTTAGGGGTCGGAAAAATTTCTAGTCACATTCCTTTATGGTCCCTTTATATTTGTACTATAGAAGTCCCCAAAACCCCTATTCTAATTATTTTAAATCCCCTATATCAGCAAGGTTTGCCCCGACTCTCTCAAGTTCGGTGCGGACTTTTTGCTGTATGAGGGCCGGCCGGATGAGGCCAGCAGCGACCGTCTGCTTGGAAGGCTTTTTATTCTCAAGCTCAGCTTCCTGACTAACATAATAGGGGCCTGAATTATTGGAGTAGGGTTGGGGGGGTTATTGATAGTACAATCATAAAGGGACCATCAGGGAATACCATCAGCAATTATTCCGACCCCTATATTATGTGATCCCCGTGCGTTGCAGCGTCTTGCACTCTGAACTCATGTAGCAGCCGGAGCATCGTCCATACCATCGGTACACTAGTCACGACTAACACGTGGTCCATGTTGCAGAGGATGACTTGCTACACTTGTTGTGGCGCGGATAAAGTGTGCAGCAAGTCGGTTGCATCACTGCCACCTCGGTTGTCCGTCAACATCCAACAGTCCGAGCTGGGTTTGTCTAGCATGGAGAGAAGGGCCTGGTTCCACCATCAGACATTGCCCAAAGAGCCCAATACCCCTTAATTAAGGAATATACCTTAAACTATAAGGGGATCCTAAATTTGATTTAAGGTATACTCCTTCATTAAGGGGTATTTGGGCTCTCTGGGTGCTGACAGCCCCACACCTTGAGGTGCCCCTCCCACCTGTCGACAGAAGCCAGCCCATCTTCTCGTAAGCAGAGATGAACACCAAACCCTAAACCCTAAACCCTAAACCCTAAACTCTAAACCCTTGTGGTTCGATTCGGGTGTTGACAGGTGCCAGAGAGGCTCGGGCCAGGGACTAATCGCGCTTGCGGTGTTGCAAACAACACATTGCAACTGCTGGGGTTCACTACGGCGAGTGCATTCGTTTGACCGTGCTCTACGCAGCAGATACATGACCAGCTTGGAGCAACTTCGATGATGCTGGGATTTCTGATGTAAAAATCGCCGTCAAATACGAACAGACAGTTTTGCGCATAGCTTCGGCGAGTACGGGACGTATTTCTGGCCATTAAGAGCGGACCCGGAGTCGTGTCATATCCCTTGCATGCAGAGGCCCACAGAAAGCACAAGAAGGACTTGGACAATTCCGGCACACTGGCCACGCAGAAGCATAACCTTCATCGCCCCAATTATTGCATACCATTAAAGAGATTCTATAGGGCTACCCCATCTCCCTCATTCCCTGCTAAGAACCCAGAGAGCCCAATACCCCTTAATTAAGGGGTATACCTTAAATTGTAAAGGGATCCTTATTATGATTTAAGGAATATTGCTTAATTAAGGGGTATTGGGCTCTTTGGGAGCCTGTATTTCATTATTAGCAAATGGAGGTCCATGCAGACTACGCCTTGATCCTGGCCACCGACCGGCTACGGTGGCAGGCCGCCGCCCCTAGGGTTAGGTCTAGGGTTTAGGGTTTAGGGTTTAGGGTTTAGGGTTTAGGGTTTAGGGTTTAGGGTTTAGGGTTTAGGGTTTAGGGTTTAGGGTTTAGGGTTTAGGGTTTAGGGTTTAGGGTTAGGGCTTATGGCGGTACATGTGGGTTGGGGGCTTAGGGGGCTTAGGGGGCTTAGGGGGCTTAGGGGGCTTAGGGGGCTTAGGGGGCTTAGGGGGCTTACGGGGCTTACGGGGCTTACGGGGCTTAGGGGGCTTAGGGGGCTTAGGGGGCTTAGGGGGCTTAGGGGGCTTAGGGGGCTTAGGGGGCTTAGGGGGCTTAGGGGGCTTAGGGGGCTCAGGGCTTGGGGCTTAGGGAGGGCATCTAGGGCTTAGGGCTTAGGGCAGGTAGTGGTGCAGAGTCCAGTTGCGGTTCAACATGAATCCCTGAAACCCCTACTTGGGACGCTTGGGGCTTGGAGGGGCGGTTTAAGGTTTAGTGTTTAGGCATCCTAACCCTGCAGAATAAGGGTACTGATGGGCATCCGAAGAATGTAATTGACGTCGGAGGCAGGGTTCCCAGAGCCAAACTCACCAACACCATGAGGTTACACCATGGTTCCGGCGTAGAACCCACACGGACCACTCCAAGGTGACCACAAAAATGACGAATAAATAGGATCATAGCAATAAGAATACAACTTAAACATGTAGTGATGATATAGTGATATTGTAATAACAGAAATATGCCAAAGAAGAAAAGTAAGTTTCCTCATGACCACTCCAAGAGTGCGTTGAAGCGATGACAGTTCTGTGCTTGAACAGCGAGGTGAAGCCGTCCAAAAGCCTTTGAATTGTCCTACTTGGGATGTTCACCCTTGTACAAACAGCTCCTCAATAGGGAATATAATGGGGGGGTACTATAATCCCTAAAAAAGGACCGTTAGTATAAGAGCGAACATCCCAACGTCCTACTAAATTCTATTGGATGTGTTGCTGCAAGAAAAGTTCTCACTACTCCTTCCTGGTTCCCTCCCGACTCTGCGGCCCGAAGTCTGAACCAAGGAGAACCCAGTCCGAACCGGGTTTAGGGTGTAGGGTTTAGGGTTTAGGGTTTAGGGTTTAGGGTTGGTAAACCCCTTCGCTGAAGCCCTCATGCCAAAGGACGTGGTCATGGCCAGCCGATTGGCGCAGCTGGTAGCCAAAGAATTGCTACTGAGCCTTGGCGGATTGCTTGGTTTGGGCTTTAGGGCCTAGGGCCGTTCTAAAGAAAAAAAAGGTCATTACTGAATGCCGCTAGGTCAGCCGGTTGACCTGTGCAGTTTCTGAACCCCGAACCCTAAACAGCATGGGGCTTTGCTTGAAAGGACGTTTTTTAGCCACTACTGGGGCTCTTTGAACCTGATTTCGGGCTGTACAGACTGTTGCGCTGCCATGAACTATCAAGTTGTCAACCCTAAACCCTAAACCCAAAACCCTAAACCCTTTAGGCACCCAGGAAGTTTTTAAGTAGGACTCAGGGTTCTCCGATTCTTTATCTTGCCCAGGGTCGCCGCCAATCCTTCTCCACAGGCTGAGGCCATTGCTTTGGGTGTGTTGCCCTATGGGGTTTAGGGTTTAGGGTTCAGGGATTGCTTGGGGCCATGTTTGGGGGAAAGGCGAGGGGTAGTCTCCCACAAGCATGCCAAACTTGCATCTTGAGAATTTGGGAGTATGGATTCATAATTAGGTCGGCCCTTGGGACATTTCATATTTTCCCTTTTTGGGTTCAAGAGGATCATATTTCAGGAATATTTTCAGAGGGTTTTAAGGGCCATCCTAGAGAAGGTCCTCTACCAAAGGAGTTCTCTGAAACTCTCGTGGCCCTCAGATCCAGGCTCCGGTCATGCCTTTGAGGGATAGAGGTTAGGGGGGGTACATGATGCTTTGAGGGAAGCTTCCAGCGGCCATGTGGCGTGCCTCTGACAGTAAATCCATCCCCCCAAGGTTATACCCAGCAACAACATGCAAGAGGGAAACCGCCTTGATCTGACTGAGGCGACGCTCTCTGAGTTCTTAGCATCCAGCACCTCTGTGCTGGAGTTTGCTGCGAGGCAGGCAACAACATGTTCAACGATCTTGAAGAATGGTTGGACTTGTGCTTCCGCAAATATACACACACAGGGCTTGAACCAAAAATTCTGGGATTTTGCTTCTATACTTCTTCGGCTTGATTCCGACTCCCAGTACCATGGAACCCCTTTACTGACACCTCATCGAAAAAGGAGAGAGGGAGTTGTAGCTTGGGTCAGAAGGAAGGAGCTCGTGCTTTGGCTTCCGCGGTCCGAGCATGGGGTTTATCAGGCTTCGGGCTTTCGTATCTGTATCTCGCAGGGTTTAGGGTTTAGGGTTTAGGGTTTAGGGTTTAGGGTTTAGGGTTAGGGTTTAGGGTTTACGGTTTAGGGTGGTTGACCCTTAAGGTTGAGGATGCAGGGTTTAAAACTCGCAGCAGGTTGTAGCAAGCTTTCTGTGTGGAGAGACTTGCGGCCTGGACTTCATGCAAGAACTTAAGGCTCTGCGATGCCTCCATGTGGAGCGTGACGCGAACACTCAACCCAAGAGGCTAAACAATTACAGCTGGCAGGCCTTGGCGGCGGCATCTCTCCTAGAGAGCCTTGCGAAGGAGCGCCGCCATGGCCTGCCCAAAACAGAGGCGTCCTCAGTTCTCGCGCGCGCAAGCGCGCGCCCTTGGTCTATCGGGTCTTTGAGAGGTCTTGAGTATTCACTGCACCATTTCGGTTCCCTGCATGCTCAACGGCTGAGCCGCCCTATCACAGGCCCAGGCCCTGTAGCCTTGAAAGCGGACGCTCTTCCCTACCCAAGGAATGCATGGTGCTTTTCAGGACTAAGACGGTAGTCATAAATTCTATCATTCGCACTCCTCGAGCTTGTAAGCTCCACTCCTTCGTGTCCATGCAACCCGAAACCCTAAACCCCAAAGCAGACACGGCAAGCTTCTTGAGCTGTGGGTTGGAGCCATGCAGGGTTAGGGTTTAGTTTAGGGTTTAGGGAAAAGAGGGTTTAGGGTTTAGGGAGAAGGGCGTTTTAGGGTTTAGGGTTTTGTGCGAGCATGCTCGAGCCTTAACAAGGGTTTACATGACGTTGCAAAGTGGCTCAAAACGGGCCTGTGGCAACAATACCCCCGAACCCCGTGCTGAAATAACTACTGAGCATCCTCCCCCAAAAGCAAGGCATTGCTCTAACCCAACCAGCCAACTCCGCACATTCCATAAAGCCTGATAAACCCGAAACCCTCTAATCACCAACCCCGAACCCTAAACCCTAAAACCCTAAAGCCCTAACGCCAAAAAGCCTGACAAAAACCCTAACCCCGAGCTCTTCAGCTCCAAGTCGAATCCTGAGCTTCTGAGCCTAAGTCGAAGCCTTCTGCTAAAACCTAAACCCTAAACCCTATAACGCTATAACCCTACAACCCAAAACCTTAAACGCAAGCGTATAGGGTCCCAATTCCACATGCACGCGCACCCACATGCGCTGCCGGGATGGCTGGCATCCAGCCGCCCCACCGGGGGAGCCTGAGGCGCCAGCAGAAGGAGGGTTTAGGGTTTGGGGTTTGGGGTTTAGAGTTTAGGGTTTAGGGTTTAGGGCCTGCGCCAAGGATTATTTGCGAACATTTTCTTGCTGGTAAGGGTGATACGATTTGCGCAAAAGATGATTTCCTTAAGAACCCCCAAAAAAGTAGGAACATATTCTTCTTGATAAGGACTTACCTAAACTATTATTATGTGCCTAAGAACCCGCCAAAACAAAAAATAAGACCTGCGCAACACAAGTTTGTGGTCCCTGGGACTGGAGGATGTATGCCAGCTCCGCCTTCAGGCTTCAAGTATCCAAAGAGCCCAGTGCCTCTTACATGAGGAATGTACCTTAAATCATGTAGAGATCCTATATATAATCTAAGGTATATTCCTTATTTAAGGGGTACTGGGCTCTCTGGGTATCCTCAAGTTGGAGCCAAGATAACTAGCATGGCCCTTGGGGCAATTTCTATATTTCCCTTACTGGGCTTGAGAGGACGGCCCTTGGGTTATTTTGTACTATCCCTCATTGGGTTTAAGGGGATCATATTCAGGAATCTTTTCAGATGCTTTTGAATTATTGAGGGCCATCCCAGATAGAGACAACTGCGAGTGACGGACATGACCGGGTCTAGGGTTTAGGGTTTAGGGTTTAGGGTTCAGGGTTTAGGGTTTAGGGTTTAGGGTTTAGGGATCCTGCTGCCCTGTGCAGGCTCAACCTGGCCAACAGCCGACTCACACTGCAGAAGTTGCTGGAGTTGCTGGAGGGGCCTGCCCGGCTGGGTTTAGGGTTTAGGCTTTAGGGTTTAGGCTTTAGGCGTTAGGGTTTAGGGTTTAGGGTTTAGGGTTAGGGTGGCGTTTTGTGATTCCAGCCCGAACCCCTGCTCCATGACTGGTCAGGGGAGTTAACCTGGGGGTACATTCCTCCTTTACATGGCGGTCTCATGAAGTACAGGAGGCTCTTTGTCATTTCGAGGAATCAGGGGTGTAGCCCAGAAACCCAAAACCTGGATCCCAAGCCATGTTGGTTGTGTCTCCTTCGGCGGGGCTCCGATACCTTCGCACCCGAAGCCCCTTTCAACCAACCACCTGAAAACCTAAAATGACCGAAGCCTCATACCCCCAACACAACAGCCAGGCTTCCTTGCGACAAAGTGGAGGAGTTGAACGCAGCGGCCCTGGCCAGGGCTTGCATATCAGACAACAACTAAGGCGGGTTTAGGGATTTACTACAGAAGTTTTGGACATCGGGGCTTTTCGGGCTTTCGGGTGAGGATTTCGGCGACAGGCGACAGGCACGAGGCCGCGAGGTTGTCGAGGCACGAAGTTTTGGAATCAGGATAGGCCAAGGGAGCCTGGCATTGCAGGCGAGCAGTTTGGGTTATCTCCATTCATGGGTCCTACAAAATACTGTAGAGTCAAGGGGCTTCAAACAGCTCACAGCCGCACTCAGCAAAGGCTTCTCACAATGATTTGGGAGATCTCGCGCCCCTGCCTCAGACAAGGCTTTGTGGCATTTTGAAATCAGCTGGCTCGTCGGAAAAGCTTACAGCGTGTCAAGCTGTCCCGTGCTTGGTTTCTCCAAAATGAGGGGTGCAGGGACTGAGATCCTGCACGGGGCGGTATTCAGGGCATTGATCGCACCACGTGTGCCAAAACAGCTCCCAGAGCTTCTCTGGCGGAAACGTCATGGCTACTCCAATAGGCAGCTTGGTAGTCGCAACCCTAAACCCTAAACCCTAAACCCCAAACCCTAAACCCTAAACCCCAAACCCTAAACCCTAAACCCTAAACCGTGTGGGGGGCCGCAGCTGCACGGCTCAAATTCGGTTCCTTCCCTGCTGTATTCGGGTTAGGTGTTCATCAACAGTGCCCTGTCGAACTTTGTTCGGCCAATGTGTCTTGGCTTCACTTCCTTGTTGCTGGTTTAGGGTTTAGGTTTAGGGTTAAGGGTTTAGAGCACTGGTATCGTCTGAGTTAAGACTTTGGGACATACAAACCAGGCTGTATCCCTGAGCAGGGCGGTCGTTCATGGGGGTTCTACTTCGACGACACCACAATCACAAATGCCAGCTGTTGCAACTGTTAGTTACTATAGGGCAGAAGAACCAAACGTATGGTGAGTCCCTGAGTGGATTCCAGGGAGCTGCCGGCAGACAATCAAGCTGCGATGTCCAGTCCAAGTGTGAAGCCGTCCATACTTTGCACAGTGTAGTGCGGACAAAGGGATCACCCTAAAACCTTAACCCTTAAACCCTAAACCCTAAACCCTCCTACTGCTACTTCTACTACCACTTCTACTACTACTTCTTTTCCTCCTCGTCCTCCTCATCCTCCTCCTCCTCCTCCTCCTAGTAGTAGTAGTAGTAGTA